GATCCCACGGGTAGCTGTACGCGTCACATCTGATCATCAGGTGGCGGTGAAAGGGGGGCAGTGGTAGATGACTATCTGCAGCAGGTGGCCTTTAATTTCTTGAGCAGCTGCTTCTTGTGGTTCATCTCACTGGGGGCCAGCGTGCGCGGGCCACAGAGCTGCTCAACATACGGCACAGTAACACAGTCTGCGGCCGCCACCGCAGCATTTTTATTGAACATGGGCTGGTGAGCATGGTGACAACCTATCACAAAGGATACAGCATGACCAACTCCACAAAGATCATCCACCGCTATCTGCCAGCAGAGGTCAGTGAGCTGGTGGTGTACTACCTCTGGCTGATTCTACCTTTCGCGCGGGCGGTCCAGCGGCTTGCATATGGAGACAGTGATTTTTAAGGGGGGCTGCGGTCACCATTTCTCTGGCCGCGGGGGCATGGACCGTGGGACTGCAGTCGGCTGCGGGTGGTGCTTCAGCGCGAGGCAAAGACACACCTCCAGACCAAGCTCAATGTAATCCCTTGGCGGCATGCCGCCATTGCCATCTCGCGTATGCACCTGTCCTGTGGAGGGTTCAAGCGGGAATATGGGGCAGATGATGCGGCAGTAGACCAGCAGGCAGGCCATGGATCCTGGGCTGCAGGTACAGTATATGCGCGGGGGCTGCAGGAGGCACCAGGCCACATTGAGGCACGGCGTGTGCGGTACCAGGCTGTCAGCCGGGAGTGGCATGAATTCCTGGGGTTTAACCCAGGCCCAGGGGTGCGAAAGCGGGCACGGAACATGGAAAAAGAGCGTTAGCACAAAGGCTCAAAAACAGCAGCCCATCATATGTAACAGTAGAAATAGATGATAACATAGAGCTATAAATGATAAAAGATATATATTTTTCTCATGCAATCATGAATTCCCTGGGGTTTAACCCAGGCCCAGGGGTGCGAAAGCGGGCACGGAACATGGAAAAGAGCGTTAGCAGAAAGGCTCAAAAACAGCAGCCATCATATGTAACAGTAGAAATAGATGACAACATAGAGCTATAAATGATTAAAGATATATATTTTTCTCATGCAATTCATTATGACCAGATTTCCAACTTCAGCAGCTAGCTGTCATCTTTATAAATTTCAATACAAATCAGCCTTTCACCTCCGTTATAAAATGTATAATATTATATTTTCATAGACAACTCATCACAACCAGACCTTAAACTTCAGTAGCCAGTTATATTATATATACAGAGTATGATATTTAATTTCAAGACATAATTTCATCAGAAAATCATATTATTACAACATTAAAGTAGATAAGTTGTTTTGCAGAGTTATCAATATTAAATATATATATTTCCCCCTGGGCAACTACCATCATCAAAACCGTCACAGATCAGCGAAATAACAATCAGACAGAAATTAACATCATACATTTAAGTAT